AAAGTTATAGGGTCATAGAGCGGACCCTTCAGTCCAACCAGTCCGTGCTGAACATAATCCCAAACTAAACTAGTCCCATCTGCCTGCTGTTGGCCCATAGCCCTCCAAACCTTTCCTGTTTTTGTCTACAGTACCTTTAATTTTAGAACAGTATCCTCTAGTTCACCCATAAAATAATAATAGTTTCTACATCCACCTAGTCAAGCCCATTTGGGATCTTATAAACTTAAATCAGATCACCTCGCTTTTCTAAACGCCAGTGAAAACAAGCCCAGCCTGTCCAATCTTTACACATAAGATAGCCCACTCATTCCAGGTATCAATCAGTAAACCACCTCTAACTCATTTAAGTGCTTTTTTTTTGCCAGTTAGTTCTTAGTTGAACTTTTTCAGCTTGATGTTTTAAAGTGTGCCATTTTTTATTGTGGCTTCTGTGGTCAATAAAAACCAAATCAGGACATCAAGGTTTATTCGTCTCAGCAGTGGCTCTATGTAAATTAATAAAAACACGAATTTAAACTTTACACGCAATCCTGAGGATTTGTACCCACATTGCCTGTCAAGACAGATACCTTAATTTGTAAAGCTATCACCTCTGACAGCACAGTTAGCCTGTGGGTTGGAGGCAAGTTAGGAATTAGAATGTACTGTTTGCTGAAAGTTCCATTTTAACCAGCAACTTTCTTTCCTCAGTAAAGAAATGTATTTAGGTCGGACATTTGAGTGTGCATTACCTTAGCACAGTCTATTTAATTTAAAAAAATTTTGAGATGCTGCGAACAAAATCCGTACCTGGTACTATCACAGCAACATTCAGTAAAATCAGAATTATTTTTCCAGCAAAATTCAATAAGTAGAAGATAGTTACAAAACACAAAATTATATAAAATTAATCCAAGTCACTTGCAATAGGCTTCAAGTGTGATTAATAGGGTAATTATCTATTATACTCCACTCTGGGGCTGTTGTAGAGCAGCGGTCGTGTACCTATCTCTAAACCAGCAGTTCGAGTCCTACTTGCTTCATATTTTGTAATAACATCTCTGAGCAGGTTGATTAGAAAAATAAAAAAATCTCCATTCTGGATGAAACATAATGTAACTATAGATAGTTGTTTCTCTCTTGTACATTTTCCCTCTCTCCTCCGGTGTTATTGCAAGGCATCATCTCATGCGCTGCCACTGGTTCCTCCCCACTCCCTCATTCCACCCTGGACAGGTCATGAGGCAATGATCTGGATATTATAATTGCTTACTCAATTCAGTCCTCCTGACTAACATCAGTGGACTTTGCCAAACATGGAAAACTGTCCCATTGGCAAGGGAAGCAATTTATGACATGGTCACACTTGCCAAATCTAACCTATTTCCCAGAATCCTCTCGATGGACATCTCTAGGAGGAAGCATTGAGGGGAAGTGCACAGAATATACTCTGGGTGGGATAATTACATGTACGTCAAGAAGAGTTCTGAGTCCCAAAAAGCATATCTCCCAGCATGTAGCAAGTGTAAGAGAACAACACGAAGGAAAACCTGACTTGACCTGGCTGTCAATCACTACCTGTCAGAGATGCATTTGTTCATGTTAGTGACTGAACAGCAGACAATAGCGTAGACCTTGTGAAGACAAAGCCCTGCCTTCATTTCCAAGCATACCCTCTGCTGTGTTGTTTTTACAACTGGCTAAATCGGATAGATTCACAACAGATCCTCCAGCTCCAAATTGAGCATCCTTGAGGCAATATGTATCATCAAGCACAGCAGAAGTGTATTTATCCACAATCTCTAAACTCACGTCCTGGCACATCCCTCACTCTATCAACAACATTAAGCCAGGTTCAGAAGGTAGTGTAGGAGAGCATACCAGGAGCAGAATTATGCATGGTTTGGTCCTAACCTGGTGAAGCCACACTACGACTACATGTTTGCTGAACAGTGGAAATAGCATGCTAGAGGCAGAGCTAAGTGGTCCCACAGTCAATGGATCAGATCAAACCTCTTCTGAAACTACAATCATGTATGGTGGAGGACAATTAAATACTCATGGAAAGAAGTGATTTCATGAACATTCCCATTCTCTGTTGGTGGAGGTCAGCAGTGAGTATAAAAGAGAAAGCTGTGGTATTTGCAACTATCTTCAAACAGAAATGGTGAGTGGATAATCCATCTCAACCTTCTCTTAAGTTCCAACGCTCTCCTAGTCAGTGTCCCAGTCCATGTAAACGTTGACTCATCCAAAAATCACTTGCCTATATCTTTCAACATTCACCCATCACATCTCTCCTTGCCTGATGTTGGCTGTAGCTTCAGGATTTAAAAATCTCACCCTAGTTTTTAACTATGTTAATGGCCTTGCTTTTCTGTGCCATTGGTAGCAGTACCTTCACCTATTCACCCAAGACTAAATAATTACATTTTAGGGAATCCACAGGCATGATCTGCAGAATGATAACTTGCTATGCTTTAAATGCTAATCCTAGAAAAGTATCTTCAAAGAAGTCAACAAAATTTGTCAAGCAAGACCTTTCCTCCTAAATCAATTGTTCAAGTGAATAACTTTGATTTTGAAGCCTTTGAGAGAGGAGATAATGGCAGACTATGTCAAACTAAGATAATCTGTCTATTGTGCTGACCACTATCCAGCAGCCATATCATTATACAATGCATCATAAATATTGTTAACCGTCCCTATTGAATTTTTCACGGAAGAAGACTGTCTTAAATGAAATGTGTGGGTTCTTTTTCAGGAGACTGATTACGCTGCAAATGATCAAGTTGACCTTTATGATGATGTAATAGCAGCTGCTGACAGTAATAACCATGAAGATCAAAGTTTTGATGAAATAATACCACGGACTCCTGGTGAGCCACAGAAAACTGATAATAACACCAGGCCAACCATAGTCTACACATATGGGGGCAAACGGCAAGCTGTGTATGTGGGAAACCTGACATGGGTGAGTGCATCTATGCCTGGTTAATGTTACTGAAGTATATAAAGCCATCTGTCCAATCAATGGCAACTGTCTTTGGCCATATCAAGAAGATTCCAAGAGGCCTGAATGGAACTTCCTGTGTGTTATTTTCCTGTGTATCTTTATCTATCCTTTCCTGAGCGTATTAGCTAAATTGCCTCAGAGAATTCAATTTTGACATGTTTGGCCTGCTTTGAAAACTGTGTAAATGTAACTTCTGTCAGTTCTCCCCATTGTTGGAGAGAGATGACTCGTGCTGGTATTGCCAATGTTAAATTAAGTCAGATTCAGGCGAATTACAAGTGTATTTGTTCATTTGTGCTAACATGTTGCAGAAATGTCTCACTTAGTCAGAATTGTGAGTTTATTCTGCTACTCACGAAATTGAGTTTGTCAAATGATATGAAGAAAGATAATAGATGACAGAAGGCCAGATATTGTACAAAAGCCATCAGTTGGCCACATTGTTCAGTTTAACATTATTACCACTGACCTTCATCAGCGTTGTAATCTGCTGGACAGGCAAAGTACAGAGAAAAACCCCTAGGGTAGAAAAACTCTAGAAATCGTCTCCACACCCGAAGATGGTCAAACAAGTTCCATTAAGTCTTAGTAAATCTGTACACGGCAAGACTCTGGATAAACAAAGCCTCCCAATATTCAGTTCTAAAGAACAGTCATACTGGATTCAAAACGTTAACTTTGTTTCTGTCTCCACAGATTCTACCAGACCTGTTGAGTTTCTCCAGCACTTTGTTTTTTATTTCAGATATCCTGCATTTGTAATACTTTGCTTTTATCTACCTCCCAACATCCAGCCTACATTTATATAACTTACGTAAATTTCTTCATGTCTTTCTTAACCTAACCTATCTAACTCAAACAGCAGATCAGGTTTAGTCCTCTCATCAATTTAAATGATCCTAAACAGTAAAAACACAATGCTCTCGAAGCTTATCTTTGTACTTGAGGGAATTTAAACTAGATATCAATCACACAGTCTTATTCTGATCCTTTTCAGGGCTTCTACATCATTTGGAATGTAAAGAGACCAAAACTGGCCATGGTATTCTAAATTAAGGATATACAAGGGCTTGTAGGTGTTTTTTTGATATTGGATTATCTTCTCACTTACTTATGATGAATCTGTTTGTTTTTGCTACAACCTGTACCTGTTATGAATCTTGAGTGACTGTAATTGAATGTTTTTTTCCCACTGAATGGCCTTAATTTCACAGCCATACATTGTATGCACATGTTTGGTACTGCCTCAATCTATATGTATGACACTACATTTATCTATCTGTATTTTTACAATGTTTCTGTATTAAATAGTACCTGATAGCTATGGGTCTGTTTTCCCCAACAAACTTAGATGTGCTTTCTTTCCTATCTAAAATTCTAAGGCCAAATCTGTGAATTGAATCACAAGTGAGTCTTTTGGTACCTTGATATTTGCTTCCAGATTATTGGTAAAAGTGAAAATCAGTGATCTTAATAGAGCCCCTGATAGATTTCACTTTCTGATGAAGGGTCCAGGCCCGAAATGTCAGTCTTCCTGCTCCTATGATGCTGCTTGGCCTGCTGTGTTCATCCAGCTCTACACCTTGTTATCTCAGATTTCACTAGTTACCAGTTGATTTGCAGAACCGTTGCCATCAATGATCATTTTCTGCCCATTAACATACAGCCAATTCTTTAGCAGTGCTCTGTCCAGTACTCCCAGAGGATTAACTTTTTTTAGTAGGTTACTGTGGTATCTTAGCCAAAGCGTTTTGAAAATCAACTTATCCAGTGTCAACCAGGTTACTCTATTAACCTAATACTACAGTCCAAAAATTAAATTAGGTTGAAAAGACCTCTCCCAGGTGCCAAGTTAAAATTTTCGTTTAGTTTCCTCTCTGTTTGAGTGGTCATAGAGAATTTCTGTAATAGTATCATGTGACAGAAGGACAGGTTCCATATAGTGTCTGTTTGATTCAGAAATGAGAAGACTATTTTCAGACTTTGCTATGATTTTTGTTTGGAAGAATTTTAGAAACATTCCATTTTAATTGCTCTTCTTGAAGGAGAGGAAAGGACTTGCATTTTATAAAGGGCCTTTCAGGGCTTCTTAGTGTTTTCAAGGCAAATAATGTACTTTTTCAAATGTTGTCACTGTGATTCCAAAGACCCTTCCATGTAGGTCCAGCCCATTAAGACAAATCCCTAATTATTTCTAAATACTAGCACAGAAACATATACATCCATCTGAGCGCAGTTGGTTTAATGTATCATTTGAAATTAAAAATCTGCAGTTGCACAAGGCATTCATAACTCAATCTAGACTAAGGCTTTTGCACAAGGCGAATATATTTGAATATCAGGAGAATGGCATTGGAGGAAGAAGGAAAAGAAAAAGAAAACGTGTTGTATGATCTTAAATAAAAGAGAAACTGAAAGAATTTCTGATTAAGACAAGAAATAATGGTTCGGAATTTTCCTTTCTATACTTGGCCTCACTTGCTTCAATGAGGAAAATTACAAACTGGTGAGCATAAAAGTAGAAAACCATAATGAATATAGCACTTTAATATCTATTGTGCACCAGGATTTCAACAGTAATCGGTGAGAACGTTGCAGATGCCATGACTGCAACCTTCCATAAAACCCTTTCTATTCAGGAGCTGTTCTTTTAGATTGGAATATTTCACATATTCCTTTGCTATTCATGAAAAGTGAAAGGAAAAACACCAGATCCAATTAGCCTAACACCTGTTCTTGGACGGTTACTGGAGTCTATAATTAAGGATAAAGTGATTGAAAACGTTAAACTTTCAGCTGATCAGCAAGAGGGCATGCCAAAAGGCTAAGTCATGTCTGACATTGTTTGTTACAGTGAACCTCGTGGAATTATGTTATTATGCTATGAATTGAGTTGTTGACCTGGCTAGCAAGTTGGCTGAACAAGAGTGAGAGATAATAGGCAATGCAAGGACCATAATAGGCAATGCAAGGACCAAAAGACATGGAGAGAAGTCATAAATTATTTCAAAAGGTATACTTTCTTGTTTAAATTCCAACATGAATTTTGGATTAAAAATGGCATCAAATTACCACCGATTAATGCAATTGACCACAACTTCTGGAAGGAATCCAATCAACAGTTAACAGGACAGAAGTCAGAACTCATCTTCCTGGAATGCACAGCCTTGCATGAATTATGAAGAAGATCAGCTAATTCTGAACAAAGGAGAGCTACTGAAATCATTGTGCCTAAGGTGGCACTCACAGCTCACCACTGACCTCATTTAAAAGATATGATGCTGGCTAAAGAGGTTGAAAAAGAAAACAATTGTTGAATTGAAACTGACTTCTTAATGGACAGATGACATGACTGATACCACCTCAGCCTCTGGAGAAATTAACAAGTCCCTGAAAACCATTGTTTCAAGCTGGGAAGAATTAGTTTGCTGTTAACATTAAGACAGTCTTTCTAGAAGTTTCAGGTCACCCTCTAGTCTAAATCTCCCTTTTGACCTAGCTCCAGGATAAACCGTGTATCTGCTGGAAAGGTGACACCAACCTTATCTGACTATACCTTTGTCAAGTTTGTAAAAAAAAAAAAATTCTGTAGCTTCAGCCTACTGCACTCATTGGACTTGAAGATCTACAAAAAGGCACTTTCTCCAAATTTCTGGGCTCTGTCAAGAACCATGTGATTTAACGTCCATTTATTTGAGTTCTGAATGAATTCTTAATTGTAAATTCTTTTGTCTTCCTTGTATGTTTGTGCATGTTTGTTGCAACAATCACCCCCTGGGTTTGAATGCGTGTATAAACCATACTCTTTCTTTTTAAATCTTAAAAAGAGAATTTGTTACAGGTAATTTAAAAATTAGACTACATAAACAGCAGTTTGAGGAGGCAACAAATGGCCTTAATTAAAAGGGAAAAGATATTTAGAAAAAATTAAAAATTATGCATTGAAGAGGAGAACAATAAAATACTTCACCTTGCACTCTTGTCCATAACACAAAATGATTGCTAATCCAAAACTGAATTCATTTCAAACCTTGGGGCACAAAAATCTGACCAGACCCCAAATCTATGAAACAAGCCTGAAATCTATTCTGAAAGAGAAAGCCAAAGAGAAAAGACTGGAATTTTCTTTGAAACCAATATACACACAACAGCAAATCCCTTTAATCTTACTACTGGAGAAAATGTTAAATTTTAAAACAAAGACATGCAGAAAAGGAAGACTAAACCTGACTCCTCTAAGTCTAGCCAGTTGACATTTGTAGCTAAGTGAATACAGATGGAAATCTACAGAGGCAAAAAGACCTGTTACTCCAAATGCTCCTCAAGTATTTGGGCATCTGTGTCCAGAAGTGGTAGAAATAGAGTCTGAAACAAACTGATTGGAGTGCTCTGCCCAGAATAATTATCCTTGCCAAAAATAGCTAATAAAATTGGAAAATAGGAGAATTAGGCTCAATCTTTTCTAAAATAAAGAGGGAGTGAAAACAAGCTCTTCAGTTAAAAAGTGCTGGAGTTTAAATTAAATGCTCAAGAAGAAGAGAAAGAAGGACAAAAAGTAATCAGAATGAGACAGAGGGAATGAGCTATATTATGGAAATTACTTGCTAAAGTGGCAGGCAGTGTGCTGAGAGAATGAAAACAGTCCAAGGAAATTAGAGAAGAGGCAGAAAGAGATCCTAGGCTTACCAAAAGAATGATAAAGCTCATAGAAATTAGAGAAATAGAGAGAAAGCCAAGGGAGTTTTAAGAAGATCCGTCAGAATCTGTAGGATTAGAATATGTCAGGATAGAACTACTGGAACTCAAAAGCCCAAGAAGGAGCTTGTCGAGTCAAAAGGAATCAGGATGGAACCCATGAGAGAGTCCAGAAAAACAGTACAGTTTCAGCAAAGTCCTGAGGATTGCAGAAGGCTGCAAACAGCTCAGAGGCCCTGCAGGGGGCGTGAGAAAATCAATCATGAATAAATTGGCTCAGAAAAAGCTTATTTAGGTTTCAAAAGAGAGGGAGAGAGTCTGAAATTGAATTGGCCAACACCTTCCTTGCTGAACTAAACAGGGACTGGGGCAATTCCCATGCAGTGAGGGAGCGAGGCCGAGGCCCAGACTGTCGAAAGGCCAGTTGCTATGGTGGTCGAAACTAGCCAGCCTCGTGGGAAGCAGCATGTCCCAAAGCACATGGAACAGAATTGAAACCAGTTTATCCCTGCAGTAGCTGAATTTGGCGAAATTGTTACTCCATAATTGAGAACATATTTGCAGCCACCCAAAAGATTATTTAAGTGCTGCTGATAACTCTCAGGCATCCAAAACTAGTAAGCACTACACATCGATACAGGACAGAGGGAAGTAAAGGTGCTGAAATGTGAATGACAGAAGTCGAAAGAGATGTATGCAAAGTGTGGCTAGTGGGATCCTTTTTTCTAGAGATAAATAGGTGCAAAGAAAGTTCCCAGACCCAGCTGGAAAATTTAATAGAAAGCCTGTACTCCAGCTGGATGAACAGGAGGTCTGACAATCTGAAACCTTTTCATTTTCGGCAAGAGACTAGAGAAGTTTCTAACTCACCTCACAGGAAGTGAGGAGGATATTTTGCTGAGATCTAAAAGAAAAGGAACCTTAATGGACAAGCAGATCTAAATCACCGGACCTGCCTTTTTGAATTTGGAGAGAGACCTGAGACATCCCGAAAGAGATCCAGAGCTGTTGAGGAAACAGGGGAGAACAACAAAAGCTAGCCAGACTGTTGTGGGTGAGCATGTCTCAAAGAATGTGAAACAGTAGTAACATAAAAAGCTCCCAAACTAGGCAGACAAAATTAAAACAAAGAAGCCTGCACTCCTATTGCTAGCATCATAACCTTGCAAATCTTTACAGGGAGAACACAAAAGGTCCCTTGTAGACAAGGAGGTGGTGAGTTAGATGCCTAACCTACTTGAAGAGCTGGAGGCCTTGCAGTAGGAGCTGGACAGCCACTTGAGGGCAGTAGTATTCCAAGTGAAATTTGGCAGTTTGGGAATGATTCCGTCCCCTAAGTAACAGAGTGAGTAGATTGGTGATTCTGAAGTTCCACTGCACTTGTGACTGCAGCAGGAGAAATTCAAGCAGAGACAAAACAAACTTAAACCCAAAGCCAGAAGGTGGGCGCATCAGGTGGAGTCACTTGAGGAGGAGGAGGGACTGGAGGCTTTCACAGTTGCCAAGCTGTCAGAAACCAGAATCGTAAACTTGAATGCCTGGTTAGCGTTGTTGATCAAAGAACTGTGGGAGGATTTGGCCATTTTGCTCAGGAATATTAAAGCAATACACAGGGATTGGCTGGATTAGACCCCACTAACAGCCCGTGATAGGTATGGGAGAACTCCCACCAATAATCCAAAAGCCTGAAAAGCTGGCCCAGGTTAGATAGGAAATCCAATATAATATAACAACATAATTAACCCTGGTGAGGACTGCTAAAACTGCCCCAATGTTCTAATTCCAAACATGGATGGATCAAAATAACTGCATTTACTTGCCAGGAGCAAGTGTAGTGAACAGGAAAGGCTCCATTTCATGTCCATGCATTGAAGAATGTTCAAACAAAGTGGGCCCTTGGCCTATCTCAGCAAAAACAAAAACTTTTGAAAGGATACTGGCAAGACTCCATGATCCTCAGAATGAGAGGAACCTCAGCCTTTCTAACTCTGGAAAACATACCACAGTAATGTCATTGGCCTTACAAAAAAAAATGCCCCAGCAGCCTTTCAAAGGTTGACAAACCAGTTATATGCTGCACTGAAGTATTGTGCAGTGTAACCTGAATCAGATGACAATAAATAGCATCAGAGAGAAAATCACAGGTGGTGTGGACAGTGGTGTGTCAAGAGGCTTTAAAAAAAATGGAAAGCATCCAGCTAGAAGTGGAGCATAATTCTTCGGAAATTCCTAGGACAGTGCAAACCAGCCAATGCCAGATTTTTATGCTGGAGTTTGCCTCTGCAGTCTTTTAATCTGTGAAGAAAAATCACTTAGATTGTGGAAAGAACAAGTCATCATTAATGCCTTGTGCCGCATGTAAACCTTAGAATGCAGCAGGGTACTGACAGTGCACTCTCTAGTAGTGTGTTTAATGTTCAAGGGTGAATGTATATTTCAGCTTTCTGTCCTGCAAGAAAACCTGTTTTAAAAAGAAATGGCATTGACTTCATTCTTTTTCTGAGCACCAGAGGAATGTCATGTCCACAAGACAAGAAGTATTATAAATTGTCTTAAAAACTATATTTTGTTTACATTTTAAAATGAACATTGCTGGATTAAAATGTATCTATCATTGGTCATATGATACTAATTGACCACAATTTCTGGAAGGATTCCACTCAGCAGAATAGAATTTGGACCTCATCTTTCTGGAATGTCACACCCTTGTCTTGTGTGGACCTTGCAGTCTACAGTCTCAAAAAAGACCAGCAAACAAAATGTCTCCCATGCTACTTCTGTACACAGGAGTTTTGAAACTAAAACAAAGTTGCTGGAAAAGCTCAGCAGGTCTGGCAGCATCTGTGAAGGAGAAAACAGAGTTAACGTTTTGGGTCTGGTGACCCTTCCTCAGAACTGAGGAAGGGTCACCGGA